AGGAATATAATAATTCCAAATTCATTTTTATCCTTCTAAGAATTATAAGCAACTATAGAAGCTCTAAATAAAAAATAACCATTCAATTACATATGTGTGCTAAAAGCTACAAATATAAACATTTTGTATTACACATACCTTAAACATTTTATATTTTTAACATTTAATAATTATAATACAATAAGAAATAAAAAAAATATTACTATCGAGACAAGATGATCCCGTCATGCGTCTTGTCCTATTTTTTGTCTCGTCCTGATTTATCCCATCCTGTCCTAGTCCATTCCAATACGGCTAGAACCAAGACAAGCCTATTTTGAATACCTCGACATATCGTGCATTTGAAAAAAAAACAGAGAGAGTTATAGTCAAAATAAATATTTTTGATTAATTAAAAATAGTTAATATTCAGCATCAAAATAAATTAGTTGTCTGGTAACAAACACTATAAGTACTACTGTGTTCCTGATTAACAAAGATAGAGAAAGGCATGAGAAAAAGGCCCAGTAATTTGGCTGTTACCAGTTTTACGATAACGACAATGCAATCTCTAATCATTAAAAGGCCGCCTCCTCCATGATTCGCCGCCACCTTTGTTCTTCTTCCTGCGTGCAGTATAATGACATCCAGAGAGCGGCTTGATTTTTTTTTTTTTGAAAGAATGATTTGTAACAAATAATTTTTTTTTTAAGAAATAACTTCACCATGTAAACGTTTTTGACTTAAATTTTTATTGATATTGTACAGTTTCTTTCTTTAAAAGGGTTCATACACTATATGAAACGCATAACATGAGTCATAACTTAATATATGAAATAATGAAATTGTAGGAATAATTATACTATGAGTGGTTTTCGCTTGCCCTAGTTTAATTTAATTATAACTTTTTGAAAATGAAAATGCTCAACAAATATTACTCATAGTGACAACAATTTTTTTTTTTTTAAAAAATACTCCCTCCATCCTTTTTTTTTTTTTTTATAAAAAAACAATTTCTCTCATAGTGATGTTTCTTCTAAATATAAGAAGCACATCCTGTTTATTTGAAATTTTAAACTAGTCTTTTCACTTTTATCTCTATTAAATATATGTAACTTATTATTTTTTTTGTAATAAATGTTCACATCTGTTATGTATTCTTTTTACAAATAAAGATATAATTGAAAAACATGTATATATCTTATATATTACTATTTTTAACTAAATCTAGCTAACATTTTAAAATTTATGATTTTGGTAGCTGTTTCTTATATATAGATACGCAGTAAATCAACAACATATATGGGAATCTCATGAAAGTTTAGAAAGAAGTCAACTCCTTTATGGACATTGAATGCTGCTGCATTTCTCACAAGAAGTTAGTTATTAATATTTACTAAAGTGAATTGATTTTGCATCACTTAATTAATATTTAAAAAACTTAAATTATGCTTTTAAAGATGTTGAAAAGGAAGCGTAACATGGGGAAGGCGAGGGCGTCGTGGTCAAGCAATGGCGGGACCGAAATTATTCGTCGTCGTTTTGTCTTATTATCTTTCTTTCCTTAATCTGGTTCCTTCTTTTCATGGAAATGTCTGATGCTTTTCTTTTCCCTGCTTGCTTTTTCATGGATCCAACGATATACATGTGAATAAATAAAGTGGAAGAGAGAGCCCAACGACAGGGAATGTCGTTTTCATTCTGTTAGAGATCATCACATGACCTGCGTAAAGATTCAGAGGATGTTCCTTTAACTTGTTACTGCAAAAATGGTATTCTCCTGATGATGATCAGAACTCAGGAGTGAAGCAATCAAACACTTGGAACTTTGAAGCCTCGTTTTGCCCGCAAACTCAGAAAATTTAGAACAAGCAACGCAGAAATGGTAATCTGAAGAAAACTCGAGAGTTCGTAGACTCTCATCTTGGAGTGCCCTCGTTGTGTTATGAATATTTCTCAAAGCAAACGACATGGCATTTTGGCGTCTAAGCGATGAAAACGACACAGCGCTGATATATGCGAGGGACCATTACAATAATATAATTTTTTTGTTGGATATAGGTATTCTCTTGTTTAAAACACTGTCAAATATTAAATATGAATATTTTTTTAATAAGAATTTGAATTTTAATTTGACATGTTATGAGAGATTAATTTTTTCTGTTGGACCAATTTGATTTGTTGGTTCTGTGAAATTGTCTTCTTCTCATTATTGGAAGCACCCAGAAGTCTTTCTTAGAAGCACTTTTCTGTAAAACGAGCTAAACTCCTTTACATATTTATTTTGTACACCGTAAAAACACTTTAACATCATGATTTTGATTCCATCCAAACACCTCCTAGTCACAAGTTTATGCTCATTGTTGGGCCATTCAGATAGACTGACATTACTCCTGCTATTTTTGACATTACTGCTACTATTTTGATAGAACTAACATTATTATTTACGCCCATTAAACTAATTTGTAGATATTTAAAAAATCTTGTTAAGTTATTCATCAATCAATCAACAGGGACACTTTCTTTAAGAAAAAAACTATGAAATTATGAGATAAAATTGATTAAAATTTTATATTTAAAGCTAGAATAAATTATTTGCCTAACTCTTATATTTAAGACGGGAGATAGTATGTAGTTTGAAATGCAATTTAATTAATTTATAAAGTATTAATCATAATTTTAATAACTTAAGAACCCTAACAAAATTGTTTTTTTTTTAAACATATACTCTCTCCAATCCTTATTAAACTAATTCACGGATAACGAACTGTTAGTTAAAATTAGTTAGAAGCAATAAATATGTTAAAAATATAGTTTTGTTTCTAAATATGCCCTTATAATAAATGAAAAAAATAAAAGAGAATGTGTGAGAAAATATGATAAGAGAGAGTATAATAAAGAAGAGGGAATAAATTATTAGGGGCAAAGATGAAAAAAAATACATTAAATATTAAGACAAATATCAAATTTAAAACGTATAAATAGGACCCAAAAAAAAGTATAAAATTAAGCAAACTGTTGCATGTCACTAGTTTTTTAGTCAATATATATAATAAAAAATATATTATATAGTTAAGGCAACCCTAAACTATCTCCAATGTGGTTTACTAACAGTAAGTCATCCCAATAACAGCACTACTCATTACATTTCAATGATGTCTCAGATTTAAGCTGAATGTTACCATGTTGATGTGTACATGTGTGTATGTGTTTAAATTGTATAACAAACCAGGGAGGAAAAAAAGAAGAAGCAATGTGTATTGTTTTTTAAATGTTATAGAAAAGCATAAAAAATGTATTTAGTTGATTATTGGTACCGCTTACGGGGTGACATGCAATGCAAGGAACTCGATGAATTAATTTTGTCTTTGCAAAAATATCATTGATATTTGAGAATTTGGATTTTAAAATAATTCTTTATTAATTTCATAAAATTAAAAATTTTAAATGTATATTCAATTTTAATTTACATTAATCATTAAAAAAACAAAATATCATCGTGCTGTTGCTAACATCATTATTCATTAATCATTGAGGAAGCTTGCTTGTGTCCTGTTAATTGTTATTAACACTAGAGAAGACAAGTCATTTAAGCATTACACTGCTTGTCTCTGACTTTTGATTTATATAATGATTATTTTTAAATTTTATATTTATAGCCTTTTTTGGTGTTCAATAAAACACTAATGAGGGATTCTACATGCAGGTCCCATAATAAATAAATAGTAAATACTAGTTTCCACATAAAATTGCTTTTTACACTTGAAATTATTAAAATACACAAAGATGTGTCATTAAACTAATAAATTTTCTCAAACCAAGCAAAACTTAAGACATAATTTCAACCTCCTTTTTTTTTTTTAATAAGAATTTCAACCTCCTTTCTAACTAGTATGTCTGAGAGATACAAGGAAAGTTTTAATTGAATGATATTCTTCTTATATCATGCACTCAAGATACTATTCGAACACCTCTCTGAAAACGAGTTCAAATTTGATAGTTAGAACTTTGCCCTGTTCAAACATATTAAAAAGAGATAAGAAATTAACAACAACAATTTGAATTTTTTACGTTAATTTAGAGAATTTATATAATTCTGAAGCAAGATGACATAGAGAAAAAAACAGAGTCGATAAAAAAGGATAGGAAGTTGGTTTGATATTTTTTCATTCTTGTGACTTCAGGCAAAAAAAATTCTCGTGACTCGTAATATTCAAATATAAAGAATTCAAATAAAAAAAAATTCTGATACAGTGTCTTGGAATTCATACGTAAATGATCCAATTTGCAAATAGAAGAAAGACGGAATTGTTGGAGGAGGTGAGAAAATACGTAAAAGGCACAACAAACCTGTAGAAGGAAGAAAGAAGACGGTACAGGAAGCTTACGGCGGGAAAAAGAAGAGGACGAAGAAGAAGAAAAGCTAAGAAAGCAAAGTAAAATCTATAAAAAGCAATCTCTCACATCGACACTCTCTCACAGTGCTCTTCATTTTTAAAACAGCCGGAACCCAACGGAAGGACTGATTCACTCTGTAAGAAAATCTGCGTTCTCTCTCGAAAGAAAGAGACGGAGAACTTATTATTCAAGATACACTGATTCAGTGTTTCCTCAGATCTCCGTCTGCTTCTCCGACGCATTATCCTTATCTCACCCTCTCTGGTACTTACTTCCATTCGTTTGTCTCTGAGATTCTTTGCGTTTCTTTGAATTTAATTTCCATTTTCATCCCCATTGCAAGGATTCCTTTGTCAGTTTTTACCCTTTTGGTTTTCTATTTCCTTGAGTTCTGAGCATCTGCATTTGCTTATGAGTTGATCTGTTCTCAAATGCGTAGCATATTTATGAATTTTTCTGCGAGAAACTTTCAAGGTACGGCTAAAAAAAACTTGGAGAGAAATTCTCTGTTTTTATCTTCTTTTTTCTCTCTCCATGTTTTAAAATTAATCTTTGGATGTTTACTTCCAACAGGAGGAAACGAATAACTCCACTGCTCTCAACTGTTTCAAATGATGCTTTTGGACTCTCAATTGACATCTTCCTTTTTGGAAATCTTTTAACATTTAATCGACAAGATTTAATCTCCTTTATCATCTAATGCTGTTCTTCCTTTTTCGAACAACCAACGAGAGTCAAGTCGGTTTCTGTTTCTCTGTTTTCTCCTCCCAGAGGACCCAGATATTTCATTCGTTAATGCATTCCCCTTCTTCTCATTCATATCCTTCTAATCAGATACAGATTAGGGATCGCCAGTCTACCGAAACTCACTTCTCGTTGTTGAAAGGGAAAGCCGTTTTTGTAATGATGCAGTATATATTCTCGCGAGCATTATTGTTTCTACAGTCGTTACATACTTTCATTGTGCTTTTCCCCCTCCTTATAATTATATATACAGCGTATAATAGTTAGATTTAGCCGTAACCTTTGGAGCATTAACCTCGGGTCTGACAGTTTTTACGTATTTCCGTGCACGCATCTCCTTAAATTAAAATTCACACAAAGCTTGTTCATCTGTTGTTTTTTACCATGTTAAGATGGAAAGAAAACTTTGTCTTTAACGTAATTCTGCTGATGTCAATTAGCTTGTTGTCTGAATTTTATTTTGATGATTTCTATCTGTGCTGTTTTATGTTCTTTTTTTGTTTGTTCTTGTTTTTTTACTGATACTGTTGTGTTTTGGGGTTATCAAAGTTTTATTTTGGGCCAAAAAATAAAGATGCAAAGAGAATTTGAAAGTTGACGGATGGTGAAAAAAGAATTCTACCAAAATAGATTGTGAAAAAAAAAAAAGGGAACAATCGGCTTGTGAACTTTATATGCCTTATGGTTTTCCATCTTTACAGAAAAACGAGATGAGAACAAGAAAGAAAGGTGGAAAATGAGGCTAAAAAACTCTGTTGATACATGTCATTATACATTTATGCCATATCCCCAGAAAGGTGAATATATAAATTTCAATCTTTTGGGGGGGGGGGGTAAGACTTTGTTGAACCAAGGAATGTTATTTCAAATTGTCGTGGGAACTTTACCGTTATATGTGTTTTTGCGACAGCTTGGTCTAGGTTAGATATTTTTAACCCGGGAGCGAAAGACAGCTGTTGTCGGAAGATAACGAAAAGTGAATGATTCCGTAAGACATACCATTTAAAGTGTCGGAATTTGTGTTTAGTCCATAATGTAGTTAATTCTCGGTCAAAAGTTGTCTACAGTGGGTAGGAGTTAGGACTGTAAGTATTTTTGTGCCAAGTTAAGAATAGGCAAGAATCTCTAAGTTAACACGGACGTGTTTTTTTCCCTACATTTCAGGGGAAATAAAGATCTTACTGGAAGAGATCCTCACTTCCTTTATGATCCGCTCATGCTCCTTGTAACGTAGCTGCTTTGAAGAATAGATGGAAAGTGGTGCTAATCGCGGTAATAATGAGAGTTCTAACATTTATAAGGATTCTTCGTGGTTCAGTCAATTCCGGAATGCATCCAATCCTTGGATGGCAAGATATGTCTATGCCTTGATTTTTCTAGTCGCAAATCTGCTAGCATGGGCAGCTCGTGATTTTGGCCACGGTGCTTTAATCGAAATGAAGAGTAAGATTGCCTAATTCCTTAAAAAGTAAATATTTTCCGCATCCTATTTGTATTTTCTGCAGCTTTTTAGGCCTTGTTCTTCCATTTCATTTTGCCATCTGTATTTCTTTAACTATGCAATTTTTTTTCAAACGCTGCATGCTAATCCTTTGAAGGATGACCGTGCATGAGTCAATCTTGGTGGCGTAACCTGCATTTCCGACAGCTTATCTGAATACGTAATTATCTTGGAGTCATAAATTACTTGATTTCTTGCTATTCGCATCATAAATATCTTAAGATGCGTCCATTGCATAATTGGTCAGTGACGAAACAGAATAAGCAAAACTTGTATTCCAACTTAAAGCTATCGCCTGTATGCAACTTGTGCTCAAAATCTAGCATATATTTGACTTTCAGGATTGGAAGGATGCAATGGTGGGAAAGACTGTTTGGGTGCGGAAGGCGTTCTGCGGGTGAGCTTGGGTTGCTTTGTATCCTTTGCAATTATAAGCATGAAGTCTAGCGTATGTCGATGCGCATTAAATTAATCGATGCTCTAGTCATTGAGTTCAATTATTAAAAGCCAACCTGTCTTAGCTCATTCATTACTCATTAATCTTTGAAGCGAACCTTAATCCTATGTCAGATATTTTATATCATAATGTTTTTGTCAACTGCTCGTACTTCTAAATTGAATGAAGCCAGAGACAACTGGCACTCCGGGTGGTGGTCAGTCAAGAGTGTTCTTTGGGTCGGAACGACAATCATCCCATTTCTACTTCCTTCTGGCGTGATTCAGCTCTATGGTAAATTGCATCTTTCAGCCAGCTTCCTATTAATATTTCGTCCTCTATGTGGAATGTGGTACAAAAAGTTGCAATTATACCCTTTGTCATTTCATTCTTCCCTCTGACACTTTCCTTTTTCTGCAGGGGAGATTGCACACTTTGGAGCCGGGTATTGCTTGTATCTTATTTGTGTGTGTGTGTGTGTTTCTTTTTACCGATTTGTGATTGTTTAAAATTTGCGAATACATATTTTTCAGGGTTTTCCTTCTTATTCAACTAATAAGCATAATCAGCTTCATTACATGGCTGAATGATTGTTGCACATCTGAAAAAAATGCAGAAAGATGGTAAGATTTTCTCAGTTGCATAACTAGTAGAAATACATGCTTCATGATAATGAAAAATTTCCTTCAGAGAGCTGTAATTATTTTAGTTTTGGTAGTTGAATTATTTAAATAAGGCATGTTCTGCGGTTCCGGGCTATTTTTTATCATGTTGATATATATATATATATATATATAGAGAGAGAGAGAGAGAGATGAAAGAAGTGAGAGGAAAATTTAATCTTCTCAATGCCAACCGTTTGCAAGCGTTGAACGTTCTCCGGGGACTAGAGCGGACTAATTAGCTATTCTGAGGTCGATTCTACTCACATATTACAACCTTCAAAAAGTCTAACTTATGTGCCAAATGATGAAAAGAAAAAAACTAAGGCTAAAACTATGTCTCTTCTTGTTCTTTTTGTCCCTCTTGTCTATGACACATTGATATTGATCTATAGAATAATTTCACTATTAAGATGCCTTGTCTCTTAAATATCTGCACTTTTTCTCAATTTTCTTGCAGTCAAATCCATGTGATGTTATTTGCTACCACTGCTTATGTTATTTGCTTGGTGGGGATCATTTTAATGTTCATTTGGTATGCACCACAACCATCTTGCCTCCTCAACATTTTCTTCATCACCTGGACCTTAGTACTTCTTCAGCTCATGACAAGTGTGTCTCTGCACCCAAAAGTAAGTTCCATTTGTCACAGGATCTTTGCTAGGAATCCACTTCATCTTCTGACATAACTCGTTAATTTTCCCTTCGATAGGTGAATGCTGGCATTCTAACTCCAGGGCTCATGGGTCTTTATGTTGTATTCCTATGCTGGTGCGCAATTAGAAGGTAGGCTTCCAATCTTTGCCAATATTTTTGCTCTTTTATAAATTTAATTCTAATGCTTCGGCTTTGATTGTTTTGTCCTTGTTCTCTCCCATAGAAGCATAGATTTAAAATCGAATGAAAAAGACAGGCAGCCCTTGATAACATAACAATATTTTCTTTTCATTCGGGAAATTTCTGAGAGAAAACCACCTAGTTTATGATTATTTTCGCCTTGTCTTCATTTCTGTTGAATTTGAGCTTTAGTATATGTGGGTGCATGCAGTGAACCGGCAGGAGATAACTGCATCAGGAAGTCAGACTCTGCAACCAAAACTGACTGGCTTAGCATCATCGTAATATTTCCATTTCTGCAGCTTTCAAATGCATGATCTCATGTCACTTTCTGATTCGTTAGTTGACCCGTGGCTGTGAATTTTTGTTACCAGAGCTTTATTGTTGCAGTACTGGCAATCGTTGTTGCAACGTTTTCAACAGGCATAGATTCTAAGTGCTTTCAGGTGCCCTACTCATAGAATCTATATTGAACCTGAATTTGAATATTAGTTTCTCCATTCCATGTCTGACGGAACCCTGCAGTTCAGGAAAGACGATACACCAGCAGAAGATGATGTTCCATATGGTTATGGCTTCTTCCATTTTGTTTTTGCCACCGGAGCAATGTACTTTGCTATGCTTTTGATTGGCTGGAATAGTCACCATGTTATGAGAAAGTATGCATTCCCACTTTGAACTTTCGCCTAATACGCATGCATCTCTTTGATGGTTTCTTGTCTTCCTTCTGTACCGTTGGAGAAAAAAGAGAATAACAAAGTATTCATCTGCACCTGTTAATCATGAAATGAACATATCCAATTCCAGATGACAACCGATAAATTTGGTATCCATGAAGTCTATTTACGTGTCAAAACATCTTTCTAGATCTGAATACTTGATTGTGCTAGAATAACGATCTGAATTGCTGCTCCCAAGATCTGATATCACTGAAATCATCACATGTTTAATTTCTCTTTCATTGCTATGAGTAAGTTTATCAATGGTTGGTCGGGGTTTTCATTAACATTACAGAGCAAGTGCGTTATAACTTTATTCTTCTGCAGATGGACAATTGATGTAGGCTGGACCAGCACATGGGTTAGAATAGTTAATGAATGGCTGGCAGTTTGTGTTTACTGTAAGTATTCCTGGCAAATCTAAGTCTAACATGAATATTTTGAATTTTACGTCAGCATAATAAATTCTGGAATTTAGTGGAACCTTTTTCTTCGGGCCACAAATTCAGAGAAACTATTTCTGTATCACTGAGGTATGTACTAAAAGAAGCTTAAATCTTATCACAGTATGGATGCTGATAGCTCCAGTCATATGGAAGAGCAGACATAATGATTCCACATGAGAACTTCCAAAATATCGTATTCTCTCCAAGATTTTACCATTGGTGGAGGCCTTCGCTCTCCAGATTGTCCCGTTTATCTGCTGCACATGCAGTGGACTCCTCCAATTCTGCCTGATCGAAAACAGAGCTGCAACACACAGGAAACATCTCTGGCAGAAGGCACGGTTCTACAGCTATGCACATATGAAGATTGGATTTTTTTTTTTCCTTCCCCTTTATATGAGATATTTAGCCCCCTTCCTCCATAGAAAAGATACAAGATATCATGCTTTCTAGGCAAATGCTTCTGTACGTGCATCGCTGAGGGAGCATGATGTTTGTAAAATCATTTAAAGGATGCTTATTAGAAATTTTAGTGTTTAATCAAAATTGAAGAAGTCAATTTTGAAAAATAGATATAAAATGTAATTTTTTCCCCCTTGAATTATGATGCTCAATCATAGCAGACGGTGAAGTCTCAACTGTAGAAGATTGTTCACTTTATTTAAATGTCAGATTAAGTGTGGACATACTCCATGTTTTAATTCTTTTAATTTAAAAAATTAGACACAGAAAATAGTTGCTAATATGGAATGGGTCCACTTTCAACGATCTTAAGCTCGTAGAAGCTTTGCATGCCTCGTTAATTGCCGAGGCCAAGATTCGGCACGATGTGATGATCTGCTTTTGCATCAGTAATAAAATGAGGTCCATTCCACGCTTTAACTTCGTTTGATTTTCAGATGATTAACCTCTCAAGTGTTGTTAAAAGAACCGTGAAATCTGAAGCTTTTCAATGAAGGATACAGTGAACCATTAATCCATGGAAAGGGTCCCCCCTATGGCATCCATCAATGGGAGGACCATGGACCACGTCTCTCTTACCCTAACTGGAAATGTTGACCACAATGGCGATTTTGGTAACAAAAATGTACAAGGATATAAAATCTGGTCAACTTTCAAGGATAAGTTTCAGAACCCCACCCCAGGGGCCCAAAAAAAAAAAAAAACCGCCGACTCTGGGTACTTTTAGCCCGACAAAATTGCTTCCCATTCCTTCCCGTGTCTCTGCACTTTGATCCATTTGGTTCCACAATATAAGCTTTACTTCAATTTAAATTTACAAACCTCACGTATTTAAGGAATAGACGTATTTTCAAAATGAACCCTGAAATTTTCGAAAGAAAACAAAGCATGATTTTCGTTCATTTTGTTTTTGGCATGAAATGGGATACCAAGAAAAAACCACGAACAATTTTAATAGACATTTTGGTATAGAGACTCAATTGACTACAATAAGAGCATGATTTCACGTACATGTATGAAGAGAGCACGCCAAAATTATAAGATTACGGAACATACAATACAACAAAATCAGCAAATAATACAACTCTTGGGCACCAAATTAACACACATCATCACTCAACAGACGCTACAATTGCAAGCGAAACACATGTTGGACCCAAAAAATTGTCTCCACGAAGGGTTCTCTCCACCAATTTCAGCCCCCTATTCCCTTTCAAGATCTCCACCCCCAAAACCGGGGGGGAAAATTGTGCTCTCTCTTTCCTATAACAATAAACAAATTTACACTGCAAGTGTAGATATTTGACTTTAACCCCAACGATGATCACAAATCTCATTGACTAATAAAATGATGTCAGCCAAAACTTCACCCACATTTGTACAGGAAGCAACAAGATGGTGCGTGCCAAGAAGAGGCCAGATGAAATAATTTTCACATCAACCAAAGGGGTTGCCTCCAGCAGAGAAGGAATTTGCCGCAGCAGGGGTTGAGAACATACCAGTTATCTGCTTATCTGGATTTGAGAAGCCAAAAGCAGCTCCATGTGTGCCAGAATTCCCAATTTCCTGGTGCCTATACACGCAAGTGAAGTTCTAAATGTCAAAACAGCTAAGTCTACGTTTTAATTCAACCACAATAAATTAATGTATGCACATGTTACTCAACAAATCAGGGCATACAGAGACTTGCTCACAACAATTAGAGCTAACAAATTAGTTGCCTAACTAAAGAACAAGTTCGATGTATCGAATTGTCATATGAATTGAGAAAGTAGAAACTAATTTATCCAAAAGATGAGCCCCCAAGAGAATGTGAGAATCAAACCTAAATCAGACTTTGCAAAATGCAAATATTACCATTAACAGACAGTAGTTACCTAGGCATTGGCATGTTAGTTGGCACTTGTTGCCCGACGTATGCCCCTAAGATATTGGAAGCACACTTTAGTATCCACAGAAAAAGGGAATAGTCTTGGCATAAAACAAAAACAACCAAAGAAGGTGAAGTGGGAGAAGTAAATGTACTTGGCGCCATTGCTGCTGCATGAACTTGAGCTTGCGGAGGAAGTACTGAACCGTATGATGACTGGGGTGAGCTCCAGGAAAGTGGTGGATTACCCAGGCTTGGGGGATGTATTACACCGGAAGAAGGTGGTATACTTGGCAGAGCACCTTGCAAGGATGACATGGAAGGAAACTGCATCAATGGAACACAAACCACAAACGCATCAACCAAAAATTTGTGATTAACTGAAGAAAATGTCAAGATTATATTGAATCTAATTTCTTAAGAGACTTTAAGAATAATAAGTTTAAAAATGCTAATCATTCCACGATGCCAACGACTGAGTAATATCTACATCAAAAGTCAGCTTCGATGTTCCAAATTTGTCATGTTTCAAAAGTCAACCACTGAGGATTTGGTTCCTCTGAGATGCAAGGTGCGCTCGGCAGTTATTAGATAGATTACTTTCTCTAAAAATATTTTTTCAAAGTTATTTCTGTTAGATGACTTGCATCTATTATAGCCTATAAATAAGGGATGAAATGTATGGACGTGTTTGAATTAAAAGTATTGCCTGCATTCCATTTTCCACACCAACTGGTATTCATTCATACCCATAATTCTATCTCGTCCTGCATTTCTACGCAGTCAGAGATGCAAGTCATCTAACGAAAACAATCACTTGCAACAAACTAATACCAGCTAATCCCACGAAACCTATCAAAATATTAATGATCCATTTCTGAATTTCTTTATAACACTATTTACAATACAATGAGATCTTATAAGATTGAAAGAGGCAATAGCCCATACTACATTTCCTAATTTAAGTCACATACTGTTGGGGCTTGAACTGGAGGTGGTTCACTGCTGACATCAAATGGATTTGTCGATTTTGATGACTGTGGAAAACTTGGCATGGGCTGTAACAAAAGGCAGACAATCATAAGAGAGATTGGCATTGTACAGTAGTAGAAGCCACATGAAAAATAATAATCATGAAAGCTGAAAGTGTTGGATAATAACAGTACCGCTGCAGTATGATATTGCAGTACCGCTGCAGTATGATATTGCATATAGATACCCATGCCCTGGGGAGGACCCATTTGCCACCCTGGCGCTGGAGAAGCAAAGGATGAATACCTTGCGGTGAAGAGATCCTGCATAATTTCAGAGGCTAAAGTCAGATATACATTACACACATAGAAGCCCAGACATAAAATACATACTTTATACAGCACAGATGAGGAGCAAGGAATACCTCAGGAAGTTCTTTTCTTCCACCTGGTTGCACTTCTTTTGAAGGCTGTAAAGCAGCACTAGAGCTAACCTCATTGGTAGGTTTTGCGGTAAGAGGGGATGCATGCGGCATTTGTATGCCAGGGTGCCCTTGCATTGTGGGCACTGGAGATACACTCCACTGCTGTAAGATTTTTCCACAAAATATGAAGGTGAACAAACACATCTGCACAGACAGAATGCTCAAGAAAGCTGCTGTATAAGTTATACCTGACTGTTCAAAGATCCACCTGCTGATGGAATGAATTGTTGAGTAGTAGGATGGCTCCCAGTGGTAGGGAATACAGGACGGTTGTGTTGCACACTGGCCCACTGGCCTGCATTGTTGATTGGTGGCACTGTCATCAACCCAGGGGCTGTTACAGCAGTACCACTTGGTGGTACTGATGAGAAGTTGCCAAGAGTTCCAGTTCCAGTTCCAGCTCCAGCTCCACTGGCAGTGACAGCTGATGCTGGCAGATGTCCTGCAGGCCAAGCAGATGAGCCAATAACTCTAGCAGAAAAGTCAGAATGCTCCTTGTAATAACTGTTTCGACATTGGGATCACCTTGAACTCCAGAAACCTGAGGAGCTGCAGGGGCAGGGGCAGGGGCAGGGGCAGGGGCAGGGGCAGGGGCAGGGGCAGGGGCAGGCATTGATAGTTGTGAGAGAACAGATTCAAGTGGACTTAAATTTGAAGGACCTTGGGTTGTCTTTGCTGCAGGGGCAACATCAAAAGATGCCCAGTTGTCATCACTAGAATTTGCTGGCTGCACAGCAGGTTGGACGGCAGTAGTTTGTTGTGCTTGAGGAATTGCTGGAGCAACGGGAGGTTCAGGCTCAGCATCAAAATCAATAAGGCTCTTAGTAGTCTCAAGCTTAACTTCTGCTGCATTTCCATTACTAGATGCTAAGCTACTCGAAGATGCAGTTCTCTGCAATTACAAGGAGTCAATTATGAAATATAATATTTATATGGAAGTCAATTTTGGGCTTATTACAAAGCAAAAGGGTGAAAAGCAGAGAGATTGCAATCAATGATAGAGGAAGCAACCAATGAGCCACGGCATGGTTTTTTTTTTTTTTGGGAGGGGGGGACTAAGTCTAAAAATGAATAAAAGTTGGTGCTGATGCAAACTGTTGATTCCCTTTTTATCAGATGCTTACTGAAAAGACCAAAAACAGAAGGGATCATAATAAATTTGAAAAGAAATAAATAAAGCACAATTGTATTTCTAGGCGCATCACATTTATTTAACACCACCCTAGATAACAAAAATCTAAGACTTCAACCAAAATTAGAAATAGCAAGCATAATAAATCAAAAACATCACGGAATGCTTCATGAATGACTCAGATGTAAGCATGCTTATTTTGTATGCATCATAAACTAAATTTTTGTTGCATTAATCCACAACAGCTCAAAACCATGAAATGTAGGGCTGGTAAGCTCATGGGCAAGATGTTTGGATTAGAAATTTTTAAATCTTGATCTTAAGCACTTTCACAGCAATCTGAAGGAGAAATATTAATGAAACATATATGAAGTACCAAACCAAGACATCAATAACTAAATAAAAGATTCGGTAAATCAATGTTAGTGTGAATTAGCAATGATAAACAGATTATTCCTAAACACTCAGCAAACTTCACAGAAAAGGTAGATTGCAGCACCATGGCCCAGATGGTAGCACAATATGAAACATTAATTTCACCTGTGTGAGTGCAGAGCCATCAGAAGCCTTTCCACTGTTTGTTTTGGGGGGCTCACTTATTCGAAGAGGAACCACATTTTCTCCCAATATATCTCTTACAGGCCGTACAACAGGTGAACTTGAAGAATCAACATCTTTTGCTCGCTCTGGCGATTGGCCTTCCAGTTTATAATCTCCATCAGATGTTCTACGATCTTCAAATCTTCTAACATCTCCAAATCTGTCTTCACGACGCCAATCATTGATTATTGGAGGACGGCCTGGGCTTTTCCTGTAATCACCATATTGTCTACTTTCTTGATCATATCCAGGACTTCTGCCACCAGGACTAGACCTGTCACTATAACGACGTTCATATGCATCCTCATATGGTGGACTTTTAGATCCTCCCTGATATGTCTCAACCCTTCTGTTTTCATAGGAATCATCCTTGTCACCCTGCACAAGATGCATGGCATATGAGAAGCAATATCATATGCTGACGGATCTAACTATACCAAAGTAGAACCAATCAAGTACTAGTTAATGAACTTGCAGTTAAGGACGATTTTTATTGTCTGGGGCCCCAATAAAAACCCTGTATTCTTCTTTGATTATCATGAAGGGAACCTTTGAATCAATCAAGTACTAGTTAATGAACTCAAAATGAAGGACGGATTTCTTTCCCTTTTTTTTTTGGGGGAGGGGGTGTTTCAACTGTATCCTCCCTTTGATTATCATGAAGGGAACCTTTGAAGTCAGGTTATTAAATATGTGTGCATATATATATCAACTGCTCCCCAAAAAAACTGAAGAAACTCCCCTCCAAAGAAATATTCCTGGATCTGTCTCTGCTTGTAACAATCTTTTCATTTTGCAAGATACAGAGCTCAAAAGAAGGACAAGAGTCAGCTTACCATCTTTCCTCTTGGTGGTTTGTCATAGTTCCTCTCACCACTATATCTTCTATCCACATAAACATGCTTAATAAAGTCTCGGAGCCTGTCAATGTTACTGCAATCAAGCATGCCAATAAGAAAATTGCACTGAACAATTATGCATTGATTAAGTGCTAGTTGTTACCTGCTATCGGGAAGAGAATGACGTTGTGGATCCCATTCTTTAAAATAAATTTCCTTTGCACGCTGCAAGGAGTAGATGGAGCAAAATTCAAGTCAAGAAAAAAAAAAAACAGAATACTTGTAGAACTAAAAGGAAAGCTAGCATGAGTTTTAGGACAATCAAGCTTATCTACCTGATTTCCTCCTTCTTGAAGGGCACTAACTTCTTGCGAAGTAAATTTAGCCATTGAAATTGATTTAACTCGATGTGTGAATTCCCGGCTGGAAAATATCACAAAAAAAGCAGTTCAATTTCAAGCAAAGTGCATGGAGTGTAAGGCAAATGGCATTCTCCTCTATCCAATCCATCAGGCTATGTCATAACAAAGTGCTCTTTATACTCATGCAACATGAGAGAGAAAACTATGATCAGAGACATACTTGAGACCCATATGCTGCTAAACAACAATAGGTTTTGTACTATATGAAAATTGTCAATCATAAAATGTAAAGATTAAAAAAAAGCGATCCAGTGCACTCCAACGCAAGCATGTAAATGAGGAATACTGATCATGTGGAGTAGACTAACACACTAAATCACATAGATCAGGAAACCAGAAAGCAACAAGGATGAAAGAACTTACTGTATTCCACTACAGTTTGTGCAAACGAACGTCCAAAAATTTGTGCATACATATTGTGGTCCCTGCTTGGCAGGAAAAAAGAGAGGAGAAAAAAATTAATGTAACAGAACCGGCCACAATATCAAATATTACACATAACAAGTATTCATAATTTTGTTCGCAGAACCAAAACACATTATCCAATTCCTTGAGATTGATTAAGAAGGCAGTATTATAGTTAAACATATTTTTGACCTCGGTTTACCATCTAAATATAGCCAATTTGCTCTTTATTTTGGCTCATATTGCTGAAATCACAGATTTCAGCTGAACTTCAAATAAATGATTTAGAAAACTTGGAATGGCTTAATGAACTCACTCTAAACAGCTTATTCTGACCACTCTGAGCTACATATTTGAACATTAATAAGTTGTCCACACCTCGATTTGGGTCAATGATCTATTTAAATAAACTAACCCAAACACATAATAAACATCCAACAAAAGCTCATGATGACAAACAAGTCTCTGTAACTCAGAGATGGCCCACCCAATCACCATTTAGTTGATATTTTCTAGAAAGAGTCCAAAAGCCCCTGCCCTTAAATACAGAAATAAAGATCAATTAGAAAGCCTAAATTTAAGCTACTCAAAAAAATTGAAGAAAGCCTTTTTTTATCCTTTTTTTAATTTTTTTTCTAGAATTTTTAGCTTCCTCAAAAGTTTTTTAAGGAAAAAAATAAAAATCATTAGATTTAGAAATAAAGGCTCTTCAGAAAGAAATTATGTTAACTAGGGCCTCTATGATCAAAAGCCAAAATCTGTCTTCATACTTTAACTTTTCACTATTGGCACTCGAATGATACATATCTCATTGGTTCACAAGCTATAAACAGCAAAAGTCATATTGTCTAATGTATATGCCGCCCATTCGAGAATGCTCAACTAGTACAAAGAAGAAACTACACGACATTAAGCTCGATGACTTATTTGCTGCAGCAACGAATTAATTCGTCCTATCACATCGCTTCTGCTTAGTAGCAGTCTAATATAAGCTAAGTGGCATAGCTATAGAGTATAAACGAATCCAGTACTAAGCTATGGATTGATCTCATGCATAACCCATAAATTCAAAATAAAACATTAAAGTGAAATGACTTTGGACTTCTAAATCCAGAATAATCTTACCAGGCTGCCGCAATTAATACACCTGCGGTTCTCTTGAAGTTTCAGGAGGCCCCTAATTATTCGTTCATTCTTCTCATCTTCCTTTAGTCGGCTTGCCATCTTCACCACTGCACAGATGAAATGAATAATATCGTACAGAATATAAAACGCAAGCTGAATTACAAAAGCTACCAACACCCAAGAGAGCCCCTTACCTACGATTATGAAAACCCCATTACGTTGCTCAACAAGTTATCGAAATGAACAAGACTAAACTTAATATCAAGATCAGTAGAGCCTGAGAAAAAGTTAATTTCCAAACAATGCATCTCTAATTTTGAAAATAATCTCGCTTTCCTCTTCTACGCCAGTAACTTAACCAAGCAACATACCAATCGAAGGAACTAATTATACCAGATCTGAAAACTAAACAATTGCCTGAGAAGAACAAAACGCGCCTGCGATCCCCAGAACTCAATCATTACTAGCTTAAAGCCCTAAAGGAGGAAGACGAGAAAAAGTAGAAAAAGAACAAACCTGAATTTTACTGCGGACGAGGAAATAGTTCAACTTTTGCAGCTTTTCCTAGCCGAAGGTGATGATTAAGAGATCCCACCACTGCGCGCACACAGATCTTCCTGAATTGGTAATTACGGCTAGTACATACAGCTCAGAGAAGATTCCCGAGTCTGCTTCGGGGAAAAGAATCAGTAAGAAATGGAAAGTGAAGGGGGGGGGGGTCTGGTAATTTGTCTTGCGGAGTTATCGGGCAGAAGGTGTGAAGTGTCCGTTGGAGACTTGGAGGATGGTCTGCCTATTTTGATGGCGTTGGTCTTATGGCCGATTTGTTGAATTTGCCAGGACGGTCCACGCTCTGGACTCTGGTCTTACATGGCGTCTCTAGCTCTTTGCCTTTTGTAAAATTCCCTTTTAACATCAGTATTTTTTTTAAATTTTTATACAAGATAACTAAAATAATTATAGAGATAAAACTGAAATAGGACATATTAAAATATGGCATACTACTAAACTAAATCAAAATTTTCATTTTTTATTTGCCTGGAAAAGTTATTTATTAATTTTGATTTGTATAGTTATAACATAACCAAAATATCCTGCTTAACTTTTGCTTCTTTTTTTTTCAATCGCTGAGATCTTCATTTAGAAGCCTGCTGTTATGTGTTTGATACTCTTTCTTTTTTAGCACATAACGACATATTATATTTAAGATTCAAAGAATATATACTTTCATCTGATTAGCATGCAAAGTGAAAGAATCTTTTGAGCATCCTGTAGCAGTTATTATGAGGATTGAATTTAGTTTTAAATATAATATTTTAATTTATTTTTTTATATTTATTATTTTTTTAAATTAATTTACATAATTGATATATATTTTAATATTATATAAAATTACTTTAAGATATTAATTAGGTTTTTTTGGGTTAAGCATTAGTATTCTTTTATTTAAAACTTTACCAAATACTAAATATAGATATATCTCCCAATAAAATTCAGACCATAATTTGTCATATTGTAAGAGATTAGCTTACTCCGCTATATCTAATCCCCATTAGTTTATTTAATTTGTTTCATCTATCTAAATTAATTAAATAGCTTTTAATAAATTAAAAGTGTTTTTTTAAACACATGTATCTTTTTATTAAAGATAATTACGAATTACTAAACATGAGTATTTCTTTGGCGTCATATTCGATAAAAGTTTGTATGCTCAAGACCAAAGATGGAGTACCACCTTTTCGAATGCCATTGATCGCCATCCCTCGGACTTCAAGCAGGCAAAGAGATCCTATGATCAATTTGGTCAGAAAATTTTTTCTCTCTTTTTTTTTTTTGGGCCAAGGCAATCCAAAAGAAAAAATATTTTGTTATAATCACCATCACTTATGGAGGCAGCATGATTTATTTATGAACCCATAAATCCTTGATGAGTTGGGTCAACTTTAATTTTCTAACCCATGAACAAACAGGCTAACCTAATACAACCCATTTTTCCTTATTCAGGCCAATCTCTTGTTAATTGAGCTGGCTTACATTTTCAACTCAAAAATTGTTTCTTTTAATAATCTTCGGCTTAAACATTTTATTGACAGCCATTAAATTAAATTTAGATTTAGGCAGTGTAAATGTAATAGTTTATAAAACACATCTAATTATTTTGTTAAATAAAAAAAAATCAAAGAAGGCAAGCCAAAGTTTGAAAAGTAATAGAAGATTACAAAACTACTAGTAGTTGCCTCAGATCTATCTATCCTTGGAAAACACTAAAAACATTTGGAAAAAAAGTGTTTTTACGTGAGTCAAACAAAAAATGTTAAGCATACCCTCTCATTTTCTAAGTCATGTCTGCAAATGAAAACAATATATAAATGTGCTGAATCGCTCCAACGAGAGGAAGCACCAAAGGTGTTACCATTTTAAACTCAGCAAATTTATCACCCTTATTCAACTCACGCCAATGAACATGAAAGTTCTCTTCCTCCATGTACCCTGTTACTGAACAAAGGTCAATCACAGTTCAAACTCGTCTACTGCTGTGCATTCAGCTGTTGACTATAGGCCCTGGCAATGATCTATTGAAACATCACCTTAATTTAGCTGCAATGGGGAAAAAAGGGATAATCCCATTCTGTTTTGAAGTTCCTCATATTTTGATGGCTCTCTTCTACTGGCAGATACTAGTGGTTAGTATCAATATTTCTGTTCCATCCCAGCTCATTTGATGGATCCATCCCAGCTCTTGTTCTGCTTAATAATTTGTTGATAATAAATTGTCAGAGACAGCTCAAGCTTCATAGGCAAATTGCTTTCTCAGTCTGAATGTGCTTGGTTTATGTCACTGATTGCCTCTGATTCATACTTTTCTTGCAGATACTGGAAGATGAATTGAACCTTCTCAAGAGGTGCATAGTTTCTGTATTCTGCAAGTGAGAAGCTAAGTGCAATGACAACTATTTATATTATTGTGACGTATTGTCAATTATTTGATTGCTGCCATCATTCTATTTCATATATGGCTCATGCATTTTAGTGAGTCAACCATGGGACAAGATTTCTCTCACAATACTCATTTCTTAAAGCATAAAACCAATTCTTCATGGCTAAAAATATAGTCAGTTTAGTTAGTGATTACGTCTAACTCTCCTTCACATCATGTGGGAGACCCAAGTGATACTAAACAAAAAAGTACGGACCTTGATACGTGGTTAATGCAATGTCCAATTTAGAATTATTATAAGGGCGGTATATGTTCTGTGATGTCGCTTCATTGTTGGGAAGTGGAAGCCATAGTGACGCTTAGTCGGTGCAGAATGCAGAATATTATTCCACTGTGCAGTCCAGATAGATGTGTCCCAACTTCCAAGTGGCACGTCAGCCATGTGCTAAGATAATAGTCATTGACTTATTTAACTTCAAATTTAGTTTTTAATGAAAATTTATAATTCACTTTTGAACTTGAAGTTTCATATTTATCAAAGAAAAAGAAGAAGAAGAATTTGAATTTTGATACTCTTCCAAAATAAGTTGGGTTTGAAATAAAAGAGGCCGACCACATTCTGTAATTCTTGAGACTCTAGAGAGAGAATCGAGCTTGCACAGCTCTGGTTCAAGGTCTAGACTCCACTTCTTCGTTCCAACAGCAGCAGTAACATGCATGTTTCAATGAGGATAGACCAAAAAAAAAAAAACTCAACTATTTAAATGAAGAAATTTGAATTTGAACTTCGGCTGACATAAAGAACAAGAGAGGGAAATTCAAAAGCACGTAAGCCACGAGTTGAGCTGAGAATAAAAATAAATGAATTCATTGAGCCGATTAGTTGAGCCAAGCTGATATTAAAAAAATATATATTTCAATGAGCCACCCATGTGAGCCGTCACAAGTAAGCCCGAGTTATATATGGAAACAGTAAAATGAGTTTAGAGTCATCATGAAGCCACAAAAAAGATTGAGCTGTTTAGGAAGGATTATTTTCTTAAATGTACTGATAATACCATCCTTTTCAATTCCATTATTGAAATCCCAGAAGCAATTAACTGCTACGACCTGCAACTTCTCTGTTGTCTTTTCTCAGCGTTAGGACTTAGGAGAACCACCTTGCATAAGAAAGCAGTCGACTAAAGAAGCAAGGAGGATTAATTACTATTTTTATAATACTTTGTCGTGTCATATTCTACCTATGCTCTCTCTCTATAGTGGATCCCCATCTCACTGTGACCCGAAGCAACCCAAGTCACGTCAAGCACTATATTTTGCCTCAGTGCCACTATCATAAAAATATGAAAAACTTTTTTTTTTTTGGGGAACTATGATGAAGTCCCAATGAAAGAAATAAATCTCAATGACAAGTGAGTCGTTGTTATTTATTGTTCTAAAATTTGTTATTACTAACTGTTTTGTTATCATTGAGACTTTTAATAATTATATTTCTTACTTAGAATTTCATAGTAATTCTACTGATTTTTTCTCCGTTTTCAGGGTTCCTTCCTCAATGCAAAATCTTGTTGCTGCAGAAAAGCGGGTTTGGTCACGTTCTGCAAAAAGGTCCACAATATGACGATGAACTGCTGCCTTCCTTCCTTCCTTCTTTCTTTCTCTGTTGCTTAGTTTAATCAACTTCACAGAAAAGCAAAAATGAACTCGCTTGAGCTTAAACTACTTTGATTGTTGCGGAAGCCAAACTCATATGACCGACGCCCACTGACATATAGCTTTCAGGTTTTTCAAAATTCCGCTTGTGCCTACCACCACATGGACCAACCTGTAGAGAAAAGGAACCTTTATTTTACATAATTATTCAATGATGCCATTATTCCAAAACGCTTCATAACTCATGCTGCCCAATAATGAATAGCCCCATGTCCCCAGTTGCACTATTTTTATTCAAGGTAAAGACAAAACCGTCCACATATCACAAATTACTTATCCTATCTTTGTTTCCCTTTCCCACTACGCATATAATTACATAGTTTAGAATGCTAAGCATGCAAAATCTCTCAATCAAGTGTATTTTCTAATCATATAACTCACAACGTAAATGGCATGCTTTTAGATCTGTTTATTCATTATATAATTATATAATTCCAGAATGTTACAAAACTAGTCACTGTGCACCAGCCAGTAGTGAGTTATGTATGAGCATCTTTAGTGAACTATAATAATACTCTTCTAATTATCTGTTGAATAGTGTGCCGCTCAGACTCAATCATCCCATCATTTTCTTTCTTTCTTTTCTTTTCTGTTTTTGTTTGGCCCCTTCTGTTCTCATTTTGCATTACAGTTGTATTACCAAATATGCCTTGATTTTGTTCCCTAACATTTGACCTCTTTTTCCATTCTTTATTGTTCATAATTCATAAATGAATGTTACAATTAATTGTTTATTCACATGTATTATCAATATATATACATATATTCTTTTCCTCCGGCTTGGGCTAACCTTCATCACATTCACTTATCAAGTCTGTCATTCCCACTTCCTGTCCCTTGTGTCACTTTTTCTTGCCCCCTTCTTTTACCTATACCTCATCTTTTGATCACACGGGTCACGTTTCTCTTCTGTGACACTTTTATGCTTCTTTCATGACCTAAGTAGCCATTTTGAGACACTTCTCGCACTGTCTTTAGCGGGTCTGTCTAAATTGTATTTATTTTGGTCAAATTTTTAGTGGCAGATCACATGACAAATCCAATAAGTCTGGTTTCTTTTTTCTTTTTTTTATTATATATTATTCTTCACAAAATTCATTGGGTTCTGTGAACTTTTGGCTTCCCCAATAAAATTTGAACTTAAAAGCTTCTCTGTCTCCCCCGATACCCTATTAATACAAGGTATTGTGAGCAAACCTGCTTTGGGTTTTTTATCACTCAAGCAGTTAGCGAGGCGGGTGGCCATTGTTGTGAGAGCAGAGAACTTTCCTTCAACTCAGATTGTCTCAAAGTTTTGTTGATAAGAGCTTGATATGGGTAAGCTTGGTAAAATGTTGGACACGTTCTGTTTCTCTTCTTGCTCAAACTCTTGCTTCTGTGTAAATTCCATGGAATTTGATGATGAGTTTGAGGGAAAGCCCTTGATTGTGAGTGACGCTGATCAGAAACTAAGACTTAAAGATGTGGTTGCCGGGAAGCAGACTTTGGCTTTTCAATTGAAACCCAAGGTTAGTCCTTCTTTTCTTTTCTCTGTCTGCTGTCACGTTTGAATTATCCCACCAATCTTTCTTCTTGGTTTCTGGTCAGAAAGATCAAATATTTTGGTTAGTTTGGTATTTTAGACGGGCAGAGTCCATTAACATGATATCCTTCTAATGATGGTGCACGCAGATAGTGATATTGAGGGTGTCCATGCACTGCCATGGATGTGCAAGAAAAGTTGAGAAACATGTCTCAAAGTTGGAAGGTGAGTTTCATATTTTTGATGATTAAAGATATAAACCTTAACAGCTTCATCAGTCAACAAACTGGATTAGAATGGCTCTAGAAAACTAAAGATGAACAATCTGAGATGATATTGCTCTTAGGCATGCTATACAGCTTTGAGCTCTATTCTAATATTCTCCTTAGATTTTGAAACACTGTATCTGAATCTGGTATTTTTCTACTATTACTTACTGGAATTACTGTTGAGCAGCAAGATAAAATCCAGTGTGGTTGTCCAACTGTCCACCAGAAGAGTTAGATTTTACTTTAGTTCCTTTTCTGACAAAGGCAGTGTCAAAATGTGAAAAAGTCAACATGATTGTTGTTTATCCTCAGTAGTTGGTATGAACTATGAATAATTTTTGTCTCTATTCGTAATAAACAATATTAATTGTCTTTCTGCAATTCCTAAACAGGAGTGAGCTCATACAAGGTAGATCTGGAGACCAAAATGGTGGTTGTTATTGGCGACATTCTTCCCTTGGAAGTGTTGGAAAGTGTCTCTAAGGTCAAGAATGCACAACTTTGGGATTCTCCACGCTGAAGAGTTAAAAATTTGCCCCACACAGGATTCACATTTCCAAGCAGGATCCATTAAAGCAGAATGAAGAAGCTCTGTATTTGCTCTCATTTTGTCCCTTTCTTCCAAAATGTATAATGCCCATGTCGCTAGAAAGAAAAACAAGAAAGCGATAGTGTATTAAATGTCTCTTTTTGAGACTCGAGATCTGCTTGCACGTTTGGCCAAGTCTGGTGATATCGTATTCTCCGATCACATATTTAGTACACCCTGTATTTAGGAGGCTCTGTACTATGAATATATAGCATTCCTTAGATCACATAGTAATGTGTTGGATGAAGCTAATTGCTGAGTCGACAATTTAATGCTCCGACTGAAGAAAGAAGCAGCACTTAAAGTTTGAACGTGAAACACTGATCAGTTGTCTGTTGAGCGAGAAGGTTTTCGGGAGGAGCTGAGCTCAAGTTCGGCGGAATATTCTTGCTCTTGGGTTAAAGTGACATGAAAAATACTCCTAAATGGCCACCGATCAATTTGTATATATTTATTTCTAAAATCGATTAGATAATTTTATTCAAAAAAATTCTGTTAAAATTCAAAATCTAAATAATGTTTTAAAGATAACAAAAACAATGAGAAATTATAAGAATTTCTTCTAGATATTATTTAAATAATACTCATTTAGTCTGATTTATAAGTCAGTTGTAACATATTTTATTGAAATAAAAAAAATCACAAATCAATTCTAAAGTTTAGTAAATTCTCAATTTTATTTTTATTTAATATATACAAATTTTAGGAAAATAATATGAGGGGTTAAAATTATACATTAATGTAAAAAAAAATTAATAATGTGCTGATAAATAGGAAACAAATTTTCTCCCTAACTTATAATAAGAGGAGTATAAATATTTTTCTTAGAAAAATATCCGGGTAATATTTTTTATTATGATCAAGACGACTAACTTAAGTTTTGAAAACAAATGTCAGGTTTGCATAACCCCCCGGGAGGTTTCTTATTTTGCCAATAAATTTCCAATAACTTGAAAATGTTGTTATTCTTAAATAAACAATCTAAAGAGCGACAAGAAAATATGAGATACAAGATTATATGTATGCATACGTTTGGTGAGAAGAGGGAGGGGCAAAAGATTTGAGAAGATCCAGAATGCATGGCATGGCTTTTATGGCTGCTTTTAGCAGAATGATAGGTATGGGTGTGCTTCCCAAGTAGCTCACATAATAGTATTAAGTATATATAAGTAAACATCACAGTCACAGACTCTGAGTCTGAGGATTTGCTAAAGCACTCAGATTTGAACGAGCACTTGCAAAATCGCCTGGGACTGGGAGGAAAGGATGCTTAGCTTGACTCAAAAGCAATCTTACTTCTGAGAGACACAGAGAGCGCTTCAGAACCAAGAGATGGCTTTGTTCGCCATTAAAATTTGCATTTACTCACACGTTATTGACCTCCCTTCTCTGTTAACGCTTAAAATCCTCAGAATCACAGCTTTTGCCTTTTGTTTCACTTCTTACGGAAACCTTGCCAGACCCTATCTGGGGCTCATTTGTTTGTGCCTTTCAGTTTCACTTTCAGTGAGTTCCGCTACTTTTTAATCCTTGGGTCAACATAATCACAGGCACTTTAACTAGAAACATTTTATTCCCTAATCTGGGCTCTTGGTTCGAGGCCTCGTGAGCAAAAGCTGTTTCTCGTTTCAACTGCTCCCTCCTGTCCTTAATATAAGACTTCATTTAACTTTTATTTTGATTCTAAATATAAGACCCTAATCCATTTTGTCTCTCATATTTATGTATTTTTTTTTCAAGATAGTCCTTCTAATAATAATAGTTTTAGACAATACATTTGATTAACAAGGATATTTTATGAAAGACAACACCTATTTATTATAAATAACAAACTTAACTTATTTTCTTAATCTCTTCAAATTAGTTAATTAGCTTTTATAATTAAGACCGGAGGTAATATTTCACAGTACCACTTTTGGTAGCTGCAACGAAGAGCTTCAGACCTCCCTTAAAAGAAAACAGTAATCAAACCACAATAGAGATTGGACTTGGGCCTAACTCTTCATATTTAAGCCTAGGCCCAAAACATGAAAATGAATAAGTCCAATTGAAAAACCCTTTCTTCAGGTACGTGTTGACTTGGGATCAACAAGAAAAAATATCAATGCTTCATCCACCCTCGTCATAGGCCCAAATGCAATGTCACATTGATAATGAGATTAACGGGAAAGGCAATTTCTTTTGGGACTTTGAGTCTTTGACTTTACCCAGTTTTTGGCTGGGGAAAAAAATGGAGGTGAGAGAAAAGTTCAAGAAACATATCAAGAAAAAAAATAATTTTCTCCTGCTTTGATGTGGAGAGAAAAATTTAAAAAATCGGAGAATAAAACATGTGGGACCTACGTACTTTTTCTATTAAAAAATTACAAGGCTTGGGGTGAGAAAACTGATTCTAAATTTATCCAATTAGTAATTATAAATTGGGTAAACAAATAATATTAAAAAGAAAAAATAAAATTAGCTAAAACTATCACATTTTTAATATATGCAACTACTATAGAGACTATTTTTTAAAAAATAGATAAATATAAGATAAAAAATAAATTACAATGTAATATTTATTAATTAAATTGAATATTAAAATGGCTTTTGTATTAAGAACAAAAGTAGTAAATTGTATAAAATAAACCCTTTCCTGTCAGCGAAAATAAACATAAATTTTGGTTTTAAAAAACTCTTTTTTAAACCAGTGAAGACAGGTAAAGGTCAAGATAGCGATATAAGCAAAAGACACGTGCCCATCATTTATCAACCAGAAAGGAAAGGGCCCAACGAAGCTAGAGGATTCAGACCATGGATACGTCGACAAGAAAATAAAATTTAAAGTATTAAAAAAAAAATCGGAAACGAGGAGCACGAAGCGAAGCATTGATATTGCGGGCCACAACAGGAGGAAACGCAGGGGCAGAGCAGAACGTTTTTGCAATTCCCTCTCAGATCGCAAAATCACAGTGCAATTCCAAATCATGAACCCCAAAGTTGCCCTTCTCTCCTTCTTCCTTCTGCTTCTCATATCTTCTTCGTTGCAAAATCCTAACCCTGAAACCTCGATTTCCTCCCTGTCGCCGTCTCCGGCTCACACCGAGCTTGCAAGCTATGGCTTCCCTGTTGGCCTTTTACCCGCCACCACAGTTTTACGTTACTCCGTCGACCAGACCTCCGGCGAATTTTCTGTTGAACTCGGTGATATGTGCAAGATCACGCTCCCTCCCGATAACTACGTCGCCACCTACTCCAAGAGGATCACTGGCAAAATTGTCAAGGGCAAAATAGCGCAGCTGGATGGTATAAGAGTCCGGGCTCTCTTTAAGTGGTGGTCTATCACAGGGATTCGCTCTACTGGCGACGACATAGTGTTTGAAGTTGGGATGGTCACTGCGAAGTATCCTACGAAGAATTTCGATGAGAGCCCGGCCTGTGAGGGCCAGCGCTCTTCCTCCTGAAAGGTTGCATCTTTTACCTTTCATGCTCTGTGTTGCACTTCTGCTTCTTGTTATTTAACTGTTTAGATGCTTTGAACCTTATTTGAATCCTATTAGCTTAAGTATCGTGCTTCTTATTATTTGGCAGGGATTGAATAAATTATTACTTTCTCTCCACTAGTAAGTTGATAGCTGAATATTCTGCATGCTTGGATATATCGGCGACTTCTTTCGGAATCAATAATTAGGCTCTTTGTTGACTATTCCATCTGATTTCTACCTTATCTTCTTTTCTTATTATTATGCCGCGGCTATTTTCTTTCAATCGTGGCTTTCACTTTTCAGTTCCTATTGGGGACCTTATTTTAAAACCTTGCTTGCAATTAAAGCATTCAACTTGTTACGTTTTAATAGATCGATCAACGATCTGTTAAGAACCCGGATGAGAATATCTTAAGCATGAATAAAGAACGAAAGAGTGGTTTACAATAGGTTAGCTTTCATTTTCGTTTTTTAAGTATTCCTCTTTGTCTGAATCAATAAAACTTTCCACGTGGCTGGTCAGTAGCGACATGTACCTTGAGCACCATTACTTGGTAGGTGGGAATGAACTGGGAACACTAATAGCTTCGAACTAGAAGTAGACGTTGTGGATTAGTTGGAATTACATGGGTTTTGACTTTGAGTATATTTAGGTCACCATTAGGCTTTAATAACAGTGGTAACATGATTATACATGATTGGGGCTAAAAAAATTATTAGGCTAATAATCCATGATTTTAGTTATCATATGAGGTTTGAGTTTGACCAGTTTTGATGAATTTTGCAATGCCAAGAAACCTTTCTTTGTTGGCATGAAAATGGGGTGATCCAATACAGTCATTTCTTAATAATTCCACCTCGTTTCCATTAGCTAATCCTATAGTATTTCCATTCATCCCGTAGATTCTGGCATAGGTTTGAATTATGAGAATGTGGAACTTAGTTGTTGTAAACTGCTTCTGTTATGCAGTTGTCAATTAACCTTGTCTTCAGCTTATTTCTTCCTTTTTTTTCTTTTCCTGAATTTCATTGATTATTTAAGTTGGCTTTTTACGATTGATTGCAGTATGTTGATTTTCAAGAAACAAGTGAGTTATTTGTTTAACCTAGGAACATCCAATCTTGTTTTTCAGTAGATGCTATATGTGAAAATAGCATCTACTAGACAGTGTTGCTGTTGTTAACCTGAAAGATTGTTTTGATAGAAGTTCTGGTAAATTGTTTTGTATAATAGTTCTAATTAATCTTATTTCTTCATGGCTTGCGTATACTGTCATTGAATGAAAACTGAATCATGTCCATACCCTGTTTGTGGGCAAAGATTCATGGAATTCATTTTGTTCTAACTAGTACTTAGCTTTTGATCGGGGTGTGGGTGGACACCAAATCTTGCAAGTTGCAACAATACTCTTTTTATTTGCCCGTTGTGTTGCTTGCAGTTTATTGTTTTAGCTTGGACTAATACACCGTGGGTTACTGTTTCTAGATTGAGAAGAGATGTGAGGGCTGGAACTTTCCAGCCACTGGATCATGTTTGAGATTTCTACGTAGTACTAAATATTATGTGTCATGAATCTTCCAGCTCTCCATTCTCAAGCCCATCCATGTTGACAGTGTTTGATACCGCCATGCCCTGTCACGGAGTTAGATCTGAAAATTAATTGGTATTACGAAGTTGTATTTAGTCCGCAGTTGTCATGGAG